TTCCACATTTTTCACTGGGAACGTAGTATCCGCTTGGTACATTAAACATGCGAAAGAATTGCAACACATTCAGATTTAATTCCGATATCTATCGTCAACGTCGCAATATTTTTCCATCGTCGGACAGAATGTTAATTGCGACAGTATAAGTACCGATTTACCGATTTTTTTGCTTATATTATATCTTACAATGTTTTTGTGCGACAGATCAGATGAATTCGTTGAGTAGGGAGACGTGGCAAAAGCTAAAGCAAGACTTCCTTCACTCCGTCTATGAATCGATTCTTAAAGAGTAAGTTTTCCACTGTGGCACGTACTTACAGTTAGTACGTATCTGATTTCGATTCGAGGCGCCAAACGAATCGAAGGAATCACGTGCCTGATGTGCCGTTTGAACGTTTTTCTTAGCACAATCGAGTGTTTTGTCCGAACAAAGCATTGGAATACCTGCCGGCTGAGATCTTTTAATAACGCGACTCGAATGATTATACCGATCAAACTTAGTTAGCGGTGGTACAAACATATCGTTGTTTCCGCTCCAGTACGAAGGAATGTCTTTCAGAAATATTATACATACAACTCGAGGACAATGACGATCGATATTTTTCGCTAAAGACTCGCAAGACTCGAGGATTCGACAAACTCCAAGTGTTATCTACCAACCGGTGATAAAACAAATCGTACACAATTACAGAATAACTCCAAATAATTCTAAAATCGTAGAAAAAAACATCAAATTTCGTAAACATGTGATTAATTTAAAAAAAAAGATTCTACGAAAATGTAAAATAAATTTGTAATATTGTAATTAAGACCTACCATTCGAACGATCCTCTGGCTCGTTTTAGAAGCGTCCTTAACCCCGATACTCTTTTACCGAAGAAAAAAATCTTGAAGAAGTCAAAGACACACACACGATAAACGTCAACTTTAAGTCACCGACAACCGTTGTCACTGTTTTTCACAAAATAGCATTCGGTAGTATTTTCGATTGCATGCAATACAGAAACCAGTGTACAAAATATTATTTCAGTGCACAATGCGTCTGAAATTCTTGCTGTGATAGCATTAAATATCCCATGGCAGCGAGTTATTCTTGGAGGTTAGGTACACTCGCGTGTCACGACTGTACTTTTTAACTAAATGTAATAAATAATAAACAATTAATCGTACAATGGACAAACACTGAAAATGTCGAGTGTCGAAAAAATATTGTTACTGTAGAGATTGGACCGAAACGTGAGTCGTCTACGGTGTACAGCACGGAGAAGTACAACTCTCTCTCCTCTCTCTGCTCGGACAAAAGCCAGAAAGAGTGCGCAACCTTCAGATCTACGAGACGAAACGAAACGAAACGAAACGAAACGAAACGAAACGAAACGAGACGAGACGAGACGAGACGATACGAAGCGAATGCCACGAACTCCAAACGCTCACTGACGCATCATCGTCAATCGAGCCTACTTTTATACCCTTCTATCGATATATTTCTCCGGTAATTATGTAATTCCGTACACTATCTGTCGTAATCGTGCTTTTTTATAATATTAGAAATATTTTCAAAGATTCTTAGAATTAGAGCATTCCTGTTTATTTTTCTATTAACTTACGGTTTATCCTGTTTTCAAATTTTATTAATAATTAATAAATGATTTGAGCACTTGACGTGAGGAATGTATATACAAAAGTCAATGAAAATCTTTTTATAAATTTTCCTTATCGTATCCTCAGGAAATTTGTGTTTAATTCTAATAGTCCAAGAGCTCGGAGCCAAAAAGTCTCTGAAATGACAAAAGCTATTTCTTTGACAGTCAATTACAGTACTGATGTACATGAATATGCTCTGGTCGGTCAAGCAGCCATTAGGACAGGTGCCCTAGGTGCGCCGTCAAACATGTCGCGATTACCAAGTGCACGAAATGAAGTTACAAAAGCTGAAAATTTTTGTGCAGGTTAAAAATAATTATCGTAGTCGGTTAGTTGTGCGTTAGGACGGGGGTGGTCGGTCAGGCCCGGAGTGTGCATGAAAAAATAATAAGGTGCAACTCATTTACAAAATCTAAAAAAATTCTGCAGTTCCTGCAAAAAATATTGCAGTTCTCAATATACCTGCTTCTCTTAAAACCAAAATATTACAATATATAATAAACAAATTAATAATACATGGCGTAATTAACTCCTATCTGTTTTATATTCGTTCTCCATTCTCTGTTCCAACGAATCGAAAACGTTCAATGATAGATGATAATTTCAATTAACGTCGGTTCTCATAATTGTCATTGTTCAATTGAACCGATCCGGTGGATGGAGAAAAATAAATTGAAGCACAAAGAGTTTAAAGTTTAAACGGTTGGAGTTTTGACGTGAGCGATTTCGCATGATTCAGCGGTCGACCGATTTTCCTAATGCGATGCGATTATTACGATCTCATCACATGATCTAATGTAATGTTACAAGCTTGTTGATGTTAAAAATTATTTACACGCAACGTCTCTTTTTCGGTCAGCATCCAGAGGATAACGTATTAGGTCCAATTTTGTTCCCGTTTATATTTCTCTCTCGTATACAAACATGAACAAAAACCATACAATCCTCGTGGACTGTTACTCTGCTTTTAGCGGAGAGCACGAAATTTTTCCACGATCAAATGATTCGATCAATTGGCCGGGTCAACGAGAGCGGAGAATTACTCGCGAAGTGCGTTGACACGGTCCAGAGCTGTCCACGCGTATACGCGCGATCTCATATACGATATACGTTTATTTACATACAAACGTCTGCTCCGTGGTCTGCTCGTATGTAAAAGCGAGGTTGAAGTGTGATCAACTAGCGTCAAATCGTTTAACAATCATTTAATATGTACGTGTATTGAACCTTGGACCGAAAGATAAAGAAAGTTATTCTCGTAACGTCTACTATCTGTTAGACTTCGAGTAATTAATTCGTGTTACAGTCTGATTAAATACAACATAGGTATTAGCTGCATGCTACCTGTCTAAGAATCTTTGCTTCTACGCGAACTTGTATCTATAAACACATGCTCAAAGACAAAAAGAGAAATTAATAATAAATTTATATAAAACTATGCATATAGATTATATAGACGATAGGGTCGATCCCGTTTCAATTCGAAGAACAATAGCAGTAAAGATTATTTCATTGTAAACAATGACAAAAGTAGATTGGCGAACCGATAAAATGCGCTAGCGACGCGGACGTATGTAACCAGTTGACCACGTATTGAGCTTGATGGGAGACGACGAGGTATGTAGGCATCTATGTAGGTACAATTGTACGATTCGCGGACTTACCCGGTTCCAATGAGTTGATATCGATCAAGTTTATCACCGATTGACCCACGATGACGACGCAATTGGTAGCCTTGATTGGTGCGCTGCCCGCTGCAACTGAGGCAACGGCGAGCTCCTTGCCAAACAATCAGCATCACTGGACAATAAAAACCAACGACACTTGGATTTTATACTTCTTCCCAGGCATTCTTCCGGAACTTCGGAGATTTACTCTATTCGTACCGTATGTATCTACCGATGAGGAGATAAAAAGAAGTGAACTAACGGTAAGTGAATCGCGTGGGGTCAAGTCGACATGTATTGGACATTAATATAGAAGTTTTGTTTCGTTTTCGCATTGTGGGATATGATCGTCGACGAGATATGCGCCCAGCAATGTTTTAATCAACTTCTGCACGAATTTCATTACGAACGCACTTCATTTAATACTTGTTGCCATTCGTTGTAATTCGTAATCGAATAATTTCATTCTATAGCCATAGGAATGTTCGTGCTGGTTCATTCGAATAAAATTCGCGAAATTATATGTATTATGCGCATGTGTATTGTCGTACATTTGAGTTGAGTGTAATGCCGAATATTCCAGAGTAAAATACGAACCCTCGTGATGAATTTATTTTAAGTTCGAGCCAACACGTGTAGAAGTAAATATAATATATAGATATTGCTGCATAGCTATATAGGAAGCTACACGTGCCACGATCACGGCCACGACTATAAGTTCATTAACAATAACTTCCACGTTCCGAAGATACAATGTATCAACTTCAATGACATTCTTATGACGTGTTACAGTGCCAAATGTGGTGTTTGCACTTTACATCGTCAGTATACCTCTGTTATATTTTAAATACATAAATACTGTTGCGATAGAAATAAAAAGATCGAGAGATCATGACACATGACACACGCGCGCATCCACTCTGATTATAAGTATTTCGAATATCGGACACTCGTAATCTAATTCAAAGTTTTTGTAATGAATTTCTTAAGTACAACGTAATTAAACGCACGAGCTATTATAGTGGCTCTTCGCCACTCATTTAAAAGAAATACGTATAAGTATTTTACTTACCTCGTAAATGTCAGGTACATGCGATGGCGTCTTGAATATTCCACGCGATTAGCAGCAAGAGCTTCACACTTTTGTCTTATCGATTGTTATTCACTGTTGCACGATTGTTTCACAATTACGATATATATACACGCACTTGTGCGAATTAAAAACATTCGAAATTCTATTAGAGAAATTTCAGAGAAAATGGGAGGGAAGATTGAATACCTGGGATTGAACACGAATACGTTTCGAATAAAATCGGATTTGAACTGTAAAAATACGTGTCATACGCGTACGTTGGGTCAACAAACGTTTTCGCGAAGCGTGGCTAAAATTAACGAAAATCAAGTTAATACCGAGCTCCCGAAATGTGTATCTCTTTAGATGCAATTGGTTGCGACCACTTTCGACATACGATCGAATCAGACTGAATACCTACGTGAACAGATATTTAGTAGTACCAACCACATGTACTCAACGATCGTGAACATAGCTGTCAATAATACCAATTGACAATTAACTTTACTTACCTCAGATGCGAAATATGGAATCTTTACTTAATTATTTATTTAGGGTAGTTCGAATTGCGAACGTTGCGAAGTACGTACGATATAATAATAATCAATAACAAATGATAGATTACTGTAAAATGTATATTACTTATGTATATAATTGATGTCAGCTAACGCTTAAAGATTACGCGTTACGCATGATTGTATGTTTGTACATTTTCGTCATTCTTATAGTCAGTTATACGTGATGTAAATATGAAAGAAAGTTACATATTTGGTAGAAATAAAGGTGAATGATATCGAATCATTTGTAAAGTACATTAAGCATTCCTATGTTTCGTTTACTTTCATTAATATACTCATGTTGTACATATAAGAAAAATTGATTTTAACTACCAAATAAGTAATACGTAGTTAAAGAGACATAATTTAACAATGCTTCGTTTTTACACTTATGATAATGATTTTCCCTACCAATTGTTACAAAATAAATGTTTTTCATGATATTCCATACAGGATGTTTACTTATAGGAGTGCAGAAACAGAAAAGAGTGTTCTGCGGACAAAAACGAAGACCAAGAATGTTTGCAGTTCCATTTGTTAGTCATAAAAGATTAAAAGTTGTCCCTCATACTAGAGTAATGGAGCGTCAAACACAGTTGTTCTGTTCTCGTTCCTCATTTTATCTCAGTTTATAGATCACTCTATTTTATTAGTGCCCTCGCGTAAATAAAGACAGGCAGATAAGTAAACACCTTGTATATGCACATACAGTTAAAGAAACATGTAGAAAACGATCACTATTACGTAAAGGACGTTTCACCTAAAAAGTCAAGTATTAAAGCGTACAATACGTAGTTTTAAAATTAAATACTGCAATAATAAATATAAATATGATTGCAAATTTCGAAATGAAAACTATGACAGATTGTTCGATCTCATGTGAAAAGTGGATACGCTGTCTGAACGACTCGAGTATATTTACACAGTAATGTACACCTATTACATGATTTTTATACACAGATGAAGAATGTGATGCGACGTATAGTTTGTTCCGTTTATGATTCCTTACCTAATATAGTACCGCGGCTCTAGTGCATCATTTTATGAAGCTTTAGAATTTTTCCTAAACGCTGCTTAGCCGTTTTCATTCCTTTCTTTGGCTTTCGTTCTGAAAATTAAATCCCAGATACAGAATTCATTGAGCAAAGATATAAGAGATAAAAGCGTACGATATAAAGAATATGTAATAACTGAAAAATATCAACTGGATATTACCAACTGGAACTGGAGCTGCCAGTTTCGCTTTAACATCTTTCAGCCTGTTTGGGCTAGTTAAGATCGAACCGAATCCAATATTCGTTTTTACGGTATTTTCCGAAGACGTAGTCGACGCACCACTCGATGACGTCACAGGCGGACTCTTCTGCTTTTTCTTATTGTATGTCCGTTTAGTTGTACTCTATTGCGTTACACCAAGTATAACTAGATTAATTCACTCGTAAGTGAAACAAATATGAACAGAAAAATCATAAGCTACAGATAAATTACGTGAGGAAATTAATGTTGTACCACAAGATTCGGAAATGTACAAACCGAACTACTCTAGTAACCTGCACATTGTTGGAATACAAAATACGTTTGTACGTTTCGTCGATGTCACGACACTTAAATAGAATACGACGATATTTTACCATATTCAAAATTACATGCGACACGAGCACGCGAAGTATGAAACGAAAAGTGAAGCCATAACATGTCTGCCTACCAATTTCTTCTTGAAGCCCTTATCCATGTTGCTATCCAGATAATCGTCCTATGCGTTACGTGTATGCAAGAAAGAAACAATTATGGAAATGCGAATGAACGTGAACATGGAGATGTATGATAACGACAGGTAAATTACGTTAGACAAATAAAACGTGACATAAAAACGAGCATACGAGATTAACGGGAGGAAAATAAATAAATCCGATAAGTGAAACGTTAAACAAGTCAACTTGTGCTCAAGCACATACCGATTGTTTCGCACGTTTAGCTGCTGCTGCTTCAAGACCTTTCTCGACAGACGTTTTCTTTACACCTTCTCGAGCTGGACGATTCGTCTTTGGTAAAAGTGGCCCGACTCTGGCTTTCGGATTCCACGCCTCATCTATTTGACTTTTCGCTTTAGGTTTAAAAATGTAATCTTCATCGTCCGAAGCATCGAGAGCTGGATAAACTGTAAAGATTACGAGAAAAGAAAAACGTATATGCAAGAAATTCTAGTGAAATAATAATCATGATTTTATTAGGATTGAACATACTAAAATCATCGTCTTGATGAACTTTATCGATATTTTCTATCGATTGTTCATCATCCTCGTCCTCTGCAGTGCGTCGCGTTTTACTAGCCTTCGTAGATTTCGATGTATTATTGGAGGTGGTTGAATAACATTGTTCGCTGAATGACAACATCCCAGCAATTGCCTCCCGCGTAGATGGTGATGCCCTGCCAGAACTGGTTATTGTCAATTTATAAATACATAGGACACCAAAAACATAAAACTTAACAGCATCGCACACTATTCAAAGATTAATGGTAATATATATTCGCCGTACTTTCTCTCTTCGACATTACATAAACGGATAAATAATAAAGAAAAACAGGTAACAGGCAAAATGAGTTTAAGCAGGCTCAACAACGAACTGCACTAAGATTAAACATGCTTCTTCAAACAAACGTAGCAAAAATAAGTGCCGGTTGTCTTACCCGGTAGACGGTGGCATAGGTTGATTGTAACTGTGCGGCATCAGGGACGTCGTCCTACAATCGAGTTAACAATTAAAATATCAAATGATCGGTACAAGTTGGAGACTTAAAATCGTTCAATACCTACGTCACATCTAATCTTTGAGCACCGTTTCCCAAAGTGTATACTGAAGCTTTCAATAATTCTTCTATACCGTTCTTTGGTACATCGTTCAAAACGTCAACGTCTCCGTCATAATCACGCTTCAATCGTTTCTGCGCGTTTCCTTTAGGAGCTCTCTTCCGTTTCGGCGATTCATCGATGGTGAATCGACCGTAATCGCTTTCGTTGCTACCATCGTGAAAATCATATATGGAAGTCTGTTTCCAAGTCAACTCCTTCGGCGGCCCAAGTGGACGTTTCGAAGTTACAGTACCATCGTTTATGTTGTCGTGAGTACTCCTCACGACTTCGTTGTTGCCCAGTTTAAATCTGATCACAGTCGGGCTTTGCTTCCCTGGTTTTGCCAATCGCTTATTGCTAATCGCAGGGATCGAACTTCCTTTCTCTTCTAACGCTGATTTTTGACTATCGGAATACGGATACATGATTGGTTTCGGTAAAGTTAACTTTAACGGCGGTCTACCGGACGACGGAGATTCGATGATAGTGGATTCTGCTTTACTGGTTTCCTTCAATGTTGCTTTGAAAGGATTATTGGCCATTTTATCGGCAACGTCGTAATCCACAAAATCTTTGTTCAGTGGTTTCTTTTTCTTTCGCTTACTTTCTCGTTCTGGTTTCGGGGGATTTAAAGATATCAAATATCTTTCCGCGTGCCGAATTTCTTTGCTAAAATCTTTCAACAATTTTTGACTGTTTATATTATCCGGTATTTGACTCCTGCTGATCATATTATACTGAAACAGAAATACATTCTAGAATGACCATGCATATCAGATACGAACGGTCGAACGAAAAGGTCTGCTCACATCCTTGTCTGTGTTCCACTGTTTCAAAATACTGAGCAACGCTTTCACACCGTGCAAAAGGTACGTCGGACACTTCTTTCCCTCGTTATTTAATTCCTTCAATTCTTTTAACAATTTTTTTGCTGCGAACCAATTTACCGTTTCGAAGCCGGGATATTGAAATTTGGTAGGAGTTTTCATTTTTCTCTCCAATTCGTATATTCTGCAATGAATTAATTAAGCGTACCGGGGGAAGCGTGCGTTGCATTGGTACATACTTACTGAATTTGCATTGGAATGTTAAGACTATGTACAAAGTTTCCGCCGAAAACCAAAGAATCAACAGGAGTCAATACGGCATGAATCCAACCCGTTGGGATCATCATAGTTTGGCCCTGTTTCAAAATGCATTTGTAACACGCATCGGCTTGATCTCCGAAGAAAGTTTCGCTCTGGGTCGAGCTGCACATCCAATGCTGATACAGTTGCAAATTCGCTGGTGTAGGCTTGATTAGATAAAACACCTTCTCTCCGCGCAGTACGTGATACCAGACGGACGTGCCACCGAAATCGATGTGAAAATCTGTGAAACTGTCTTTGACTCCCATTAGGCAATACTTTTGTACTTCAGGACGTTTTATGTCGCTATCCTCGGGCCAATCGCGCGGCCAAACACTATTAACCCAGTCGAGCTTACGCGCGATGTATGGTGCTTCGACCATTGGTGAAAGACTGCAACGTTTATTTGTCAATATATACATATACATACTCCCTAGAAATATTCAAAGCCAATATGTGGCAAGGCAATTAATATTGATATACCCAGTATTTGTAAATTCAAGACTAATCACATTAAGAACTCTTGTTCTACAAGGGGAATTGTAATATTCGACAAAGTCTCTTAATTTCATTCTGATATTACTTTGTCTTGTAACATCAATTACATCCATGTCTCGATCCCCACCTAAAAATACAAAGAAGAAATGAAGAACAAGCATACGTCTAATTTTATTTTGAATAAACATTTGAACCAGTGGTACTGTTACAAAAATGTACATGATATACTTTAATACCTATATAACTTTCTATGTCGTAAACACTGAAATTTGGAGGTGGAACGGTCATGTCAAGTCCATCCTTTCCATCTATTATGATGGGAGCTTCGAATCCATTAGTTTGTAGATATTGAAGAGTCAACTGCTGTCCCCTGATATGTTTAACGACTTCGTCAGCTTTTGGAAAATGCCTAGATTTTAATTCTCTTATGAAAACAGGTGTGCCAGTCTGAACTGGTTTCGCATCGGCATCAGGTTCAGAGTAATCGTGTCTATGCCAGTTCAATCTTACTTTCACTAAACAATTGTTTTTTATTCAATGTTATTGAACAAATTGTGAAAAACAAATTCCTTTTTATGCTTGTACTCACTGAGAGATGGCCCGCACATTGTTTCACAACGTGGACAATGATATTTGTCAAGATCTATGGACATATACTCCTTTATGGATACACACCTGACAGTCGAGAAAAATATGATAATTCTTTTAACATTTTTTTAGATCACACTCGCGGATACTCTTATTACTTAATACTTTATTATGAGATTGACGCAATTTATATTTGATCGAACAGAAGAAAACGCAGATATTCGTTTTATCAGGATAGGTTATGTAAGTATCAACAAAACCTATGCCTTTCCCGCAAAAGCATTATTTTCACTTAATAATGTACGAATAAAAGTTATCGGGAAGCATCATGAAAATTATAATTTAATGGTACAGAGCACAGCTGAAAGTTTGTTTTCTATGTTCGACTTATTGTCAGACAAAGTATCGCAGATTTGAACTGTTGTTTTTAATCGTCTAAATTTCAAATCCTTACCCTCCATGATACCATTCTTTGCAAACGTCACATTGTATCATGAACTGCTCGAAATCGTACGGGCGGCCACATAAACAATATGTAACAGGTAACTCCATTTTCCGCGAATATTAGCGTCAAATACAAACTAACGTTTCCGCGTCGTTAACATCGAAATGATGTAGTATAGTGGTAACTATAGTAGCTGCGGTCAGGGGAGCCAAGCGCCCTGAATGAGAACGATGAAAAACATTTCATAGCGCCGCCTGTTCATTCAATACCACCGAGGAGAGATTACTCGGTGATATTATCATCGTTATACTTGATTCGAGATTAGTACTTCGGAAAGAGAATGACTATCATTTTCAAATTTTGTCACACTTGTATTACTTTATTTTCATTAGTGCACACCATATTTTGTATTTGAAGTAAGAATAAAAGTAATTGGCATGTAATACTTTAATGCATATCAATAATTAATTGAAATTAGTCTCTGAATTGTTGTTATATCTATAAAACAGCGTACTTCGTTATGTATATTGTAAACACAGAATCTTCAATGTTCAGTTCATGA